ATGTCTTTAGGATTTCCCAAAGAAGTAAATTACATAAAAGTGACCCAGGCTAGCAATAACTTTGGGACATCAGACAGAAGCTCTTGTAAAATTGTTCTGGCAAATCATGCATTTAAACCAGGCTGCATGGGATTTCCTCAAATAAAACCCTGTTGAGCACTGACTGGTGTGCTTCAGGGGTTAGAGGATCAGCCCTTGCACTGAAGGGTGGTGGGTTCAAATCCCAATCAAGGGTGCGTACCTGGGTTCCAGGTTTGATCCCCACTCCCAGTTGGGGCACGTGCAGGAGGCAACCAATCCATGTCTCTCTCTCTCTCTCTCTCTCTCTCTCTCTCTCTCCCTCCCCCCTCTAAAAAAAGTCAATTAAAAAAATTCTAACCCCACCAGAGTGGCTCAGTGGTTGAGCATCAATCCATAAACCAGGAGGTCACAGTTGGATTCCCAGTCAGAGCACATGCCCGGGTTGCTGGCTCCATTCCCAGTCAGGGGCATGCAGGAGGCAACTGATCATTGATTCTGTCATCATTGATGTTTCTATCTCTCTCTCCCTCTCCCTTCCTCTCTGAAATCAAGAAAAACATTTTAAAAAGAAAGAAAATGGTATCTATCAGAAAAACACACACAGGTAAATAGGAAGCATAAAATGAGTGATAGGGATAGGAGCTAACAGAATTCTTGGCTTCTAATACTTGTTATCATTAACATAATCAGCCAGAAGTGTCTGCCTCATGAATGGGTTCTCTGCAGATGTCTGCAGTGATGGAAGTCGAGACACCTGGCTGACTAGGTTCCACATTTATACATTTGGTAGTCTTAAGAGGGTCCTGAAGAGTGACATTTTTGACCCTCTTCTCTCTGACTTATGTTCACCCTTGAGAGAGTCAGCCTCAAGAATGCTGGAGTAAGATGTACTAACTAAAGTATCTAATTATGTTGATCTTTATTGTTACTCATATACTGAATGAGACAGCATGATCATTTCCACCTAAATCACAGGCAACATTGCCAACCAATTGTGATTTTAGATAAGTGGCAAAAGAGGATTACAAGAAGACTTTAGGGTAGTTGGTTGATCCAGACTAAAGCTGCACAAAATACAGTTTAATACTACTCTTGGAATGGACATGTTTAGGGATTGGATAATGGATAACTATAAAGTCTGTTTGCTGTAAACAGAAATATATAGAAAAATGAGATGTTTAAAAATACATAGGAAAATAAAAAATTTACTGTGTTTCACCAAAATTTTGCTTCATTTATTTTTTATATCTAGAGTTTGGGGAAGTTTCCAATTTGAGAACTAACTATGCAGAACTAACAAAGCTACTTGTCATAAATATATCAAATGGACCCAGCAATATATTTAAAAGAGAGAAAAGCTAAAAATCTGCTTTTTCTACCTTAAAAAACTTAGAAACCTATATGGGTTTTTTTTTAGCTCAAGTTTTATCAGAATCAAGAATTTCCCCTTGAATTTTGAAAGCACTGTCAGTATTGTCAACTCAAAGACAAGATGCAGTATTTTAAACTTAACCTTATGTTTACAAATGAGACAAAATATCATTTTCAACGTATTTGTGATCTAACCTACATTAAAGTTGTTTTTACTCAAATTATTTTTTTAGTAAATAGCACTTAAAGAGACCAATATATGTGATCTGTGTATAAAGTGGCACTTAAAATTTAGGATAAAGGACAAAACAGCATTTATAGCTAAATTGTCCACTCACACTTTTGAGGGCAGATATTTATGCAGGGCTGTTCTGCTTTCAGGGAGAAAAACTAAACCACCACGACCAGATTCTCCAGCCACTACACCAAACATATCTGTGAAGAAGAAAAACAAAGATGGGAAGGGTAAGTACTATTGTAATTTTCCTATAATACTTATGGGTCAAATAACGTTCAGATTGCTTTAAAATGTCTGCATATTGTAAGCAGAAACTACCAACTTTCTTGATGTATTAAAATGGATCTTATTGCTGTCACACGCTTATGAGATACAGTTGCCATTTTCTGTAAAGAGCATGGTTAATAATGTAGCCCAGAAATCCTTTTAAAAGATGTTCACTCACCAGTCCAAATAATCCATTCATTCATATAATAATGAGTCTCTTGGAAGAGTTCAGGTTAGGTTTTCAGTTTATAGACATTTTATTACATTGTATTGGGGTTCTAGTATTTTAATAACTGCTTCCAAATTTGAAGAAAAAATCATCTCAAAGTGCTTTCTCCCTAAGCCATGTCAAATCTAATTGGCAAGATTGCTCTGTTGAGATACCTTATGTGGGGCCAATAAAAAAATATCTGTATTAGGCCCCAAAATTGTAATTGTTATATTATCAATACTAATGAATTACGTATTATCTTTGTATAATTACAGATGGAACTTTTAGTTGTGTTTTATTGTGCACTTTCAAATGAAATTTTGGTCAAAGAAATCGCTTTTGTTTCAGGAAACACAATTTATCTTTGGGAGTTTTTACTGGCACTGCTCCAGGACAAAGCTACTTGTCCTAAATATATCAAATGGACCCAGAGAGAAAAAGGCATTTTTAAATTGGTAGATTCTAAAGCAGTATCCAGGTTGTGGGGGAAGCACAAAAATAAACCTGATATGAATTACGAGACCATGGGAAGAGCTCTCAGGTATGTGAAGTTTTTGTAGTTTGTTGTGTTAAGAATATAATTTCCTAAATACTAAAAAAATAGATAACTTTTAAAAAGTTAAAGAATTTAAAAAATGGTGAATCTTATTTATTGAAGTGCTAAAACCACACTGATTATAGAATCAGTGTGCATATAAATTTAAATCTTATTTCAATCTGGGAAAATGTTTGCCTTCCAAAAAAAGATCTTCATGCAAACAACAGATATTTTATTTGTAAAGGGATCAGAAAGTGTTAAACTATTATCACATATTATAAATTGACCACAGGCCAGACCTGTTTTGAGCCATTAAACTTAAATTCAGCACAAAATACAAATAGTGGTGATGTAGGAAGTTAGTAAGGGGTGCATTTTTAAATGTAAACCTCAGGTATGATTTGTAATATCTTAAGATAGAATAAATCTTTGCTTTAAGGATAAGATTAGACAAAATTTTCAACTAGGGTATAATAATATCCTATAACTCACTTTAGTTTCTCTTTGGTCTTATAATTTATTCTTAAAGATATACATGTATTTGAGAAAAATTTATTAAAAGTAGCAATGATGTGATAATTTGATAACCTTAAACTAGAACTGTGTGTTTAATTACAGTTTTTTAACACACTTTTGCTTACTAATCTAATTTAAATTATTGACAAAATTTGAATCCCTTCTGTTGGTGCATCATTAAATTTTATATAGAAAACTGAATTAAGTTTACCGAATCAGATTTAAACTGGTAGGGATGTTACAGGAAACTATGGAAGGGAAATAGTTTCTTGGGTTTGGTACTAGATTGAATTATTCCAGCAAGTTAACAGAAAGGTAGAGGAAAGAAGAAAAGTGAAGGCTAGAATAATCCATATACTTTATTAACAATCCCCTAATTAAAATTGCTTTTAGATTCAGTTGGTAATAAGGACTTTTCTCTCTGTGAGTAAATGTGTGTTTTACATATATTTAGAAAATGTTTTTAATTACACTATCTTATATAAAACAGTTGCCCTTCATTTAGAAATTCTTTTCTCTTGCTTGTTTGTTTCCAACTTTAAACTTCATAATTCTAAAATTCTTATTTTGGTGAATATTATTTTCATTTATATTTAATTGAATAAAATATTGATGGAATTGTTTGCTTTGAATAGGTACTATTATCAAAGGGGTATTCTGGCAAAAGTAGAAGGTCAGCGCTTGGTGTATCAGTTTAAGGAAATGCCAAAAGATCTTATTTATATAGATGATGAGGATCCGAGTTCCAGCATAGAATCTTCAGATCCATCACTGTCAGCAACAACTACTTCAAGCAGGAACCAAGCAGGCCGATCAAGAGTATCTTCAAGTCCAGGGATAAAAGGAGGAGCCACTACAGTTCTAAAACCAGGGAATTCTAAAGCTACTAAAACCAAAGATCCTGTGGAAGTTGCACAGCCATCAGAAGTTCTGAGGACAGTGCAGCCCACACAGTCTGCATATCCTACCCAGCTCTTCCGGACTGTTCATGTAGTGCAGCCAGTACAAGCTGTCCCAGAAGGAGAAGCGGCCATAATTAGTTGTGTGCAAGATGAAACATTAAATTCTTCAGTTCAGAGTATTAGGTGAGAAAACGAAAATTTACCAGTGTGTATTATTATGTGATGTTCCTGATCCAGAGCCATTATTTATTAAGTGGGTCTTAAAAATGATACAGATTTCAAGCTAGAATGTTTGGTCAACAGATTGTATCAGACTTGATTGTATCAATGTTTCCTTTATTTTTACACTTTGACATTACTTGATGTTATTCTATCAATTTAAGTCTAGTCTACTATACCCTTTTATAACTGGATTAATTTATATGATAAGGGATCCACATATAAGAAAACCAGAGAATGGTTTCAAATCTATTTTCAGAGTCAGAAGCTGCAAAAATTCAACAAAAATGGACATATCATGACCTTTTGGAATGCATTGAGTTCCAAGATATAAACATTATTCCTTGGGAAAATCCTGTTATGGAACAGTTAGTTCCAAAGTTCCAACAGGTAGAAAGGCCAAGAATCTAAGGTCCTCTTTTTTCAGGCTTCCAGAGTGGCAGAAGTTGGCTTAATCAAATCAAATTTGCTTCATGGTCTTAGGAAAGATATGAAACAACAGATTGACCAAGAAAACCCTAACTGCTTCAGAGTGATCGTTTGCAGACATTTGGGCTTGTCTTGTCTGATTTAGAATGGGGGAAATGGAGAGAGGGAGAAAATTAAGGTAGTACTCCATTTTTCTCTTTCTACTGTCATGAATTTCCAGTACATAAATTATAAGATATAGGAGCACCTAGAAATCTAATAAAAATGATTTCTTTGATTACTTTTATTAGTCAACTTCAGTCTTATATTCCAGAATATAAATGCTGGATTTTTGTTCAATTGATCTTGAAGTAAGCAAACATTATCTAGGATCAAGATAGACTTAGGTGATTCAGTCTTTCTTATATGGTCCATTTAAACCTTTAACATTGTGAAAATTGAATTCTTTTAAATCTTTAGTGGACTTGCAAGGAATAAAAAGATCACTTTTTTCATTTTAATTGGACAGGAATGATACATCTCTAACTGGCATTAAAGAAGTAATTATTTAGCTCTCTATTTCCTTTTAATGTTTTATTTTCCTCCAGATCTCATTGGTTACATGGTGGACCTTCAAAATGACTTCAGGTTTTCTCACTGCGCAGAATATAGTCAAACAATGCTATAGTTAAATATTTTACCCTTTGTTCTTCCTGCATGATCTACAATGATAATCTGCTTTGTGTTGATATTTACTGCTGTGTTGCTGAAAATTACCTGAAAGAGAAGTTGGGGTGTTTCACTGGGCTGGAAAAAGTTTAGCTACATCAGAAAGCAGGTCTAAAGCAAGTTTATTCTGTATATATAAAAGGCGAAGTTGACTTGCCCACGAGCCATACATATAAAGCTCTCGCTGGTACCAATCGCAAGCTTGTGTTTCAGTCTGTCATTGTCAATCGTGAATTTGGTTGACACTTCTATTATAGAGAAAGGGTGAATAGCGACATTAAAATATTTCTTCTAATTAATTTCCTTTCCATGTGCATGCATCCGTGCACCAGGCCACTAGTAAAATTATAATGGAGCTGAATTTCCTGTAAGAAATGGAAAGGATATGTGGTTCAGGAGGAATTATTTTCCTCTGGTAGCAGCGATATTTGAGGAATTTGGCAATATATTCCCATCTACTCAGAGCACCTCAATTTTGAGTGTAGATTATAGTCCAGGCAGACAGCCACTGACCTTTTACAGCAGAGGAGCCTGTACCCACAATGCTACAACCCTCCCAAATCTAGCTTGATCATATTCAGAATACACTGCTGTAAATTCTTTGTTGAGGACCTAATATCCTGTACAAGGACACAGGTCCACAGGAGCTACCTTAACAAGTATTTAGTGTCACTGACACTTTAGAAAACGCTTTTTGTAATAGTGTGGAGCCAGCCTGTACTTGTGCTTCAGAAATGTTTTCAGGTTGTAATGATGAAAAGTATAGATAGGTTTTATTTTTTCCATCAGTTCAATGCCAGAGAGAGCTTTTTGTACCAAATAGGGTCATGGAACCAAAAACAAATTGTCAAAATCAAAATATTGAGTCATCAGTTCTACGCTCTTTCCATGTTAAACAACCTCTTGTGTGTGCGTGTTTGTGTGTGTGTGTGTGTGTGTACCACAAAGATTCTTAATCTGACCACAATAGCCAAAACCACGTTGCCATGATAATCCCCTATGTTCCTTTATCTCTTCATCTTGATTTCATATTCCTACTGATTCTCGGGCCACCTTTCACTCCCTCCTGGTAGTCACTATTATAGTTATCTATGCCTAATCCAGCCAATTTCTCATCAATTTTTCCAGTCAATCCAGTCTATATCTGTGTTCATGGAGTAGCATCTACAGTTTCAGTGCTCTATTTCTGACTCTGTTGGAAAGAAGTAGGGGAAGGGTTTGTGGGACATTATTTATACAGTCTTAGTTGTGTTCAGTAATGTCCTAGGCCTTCACATTATTTCACCACTCACTCACCCAGAGCAACTTCCAGTCCTGTAAGCTCCACTCATGGTAAGTGTCCCATACAGATGTACCATTTTATCTATGATGCCATATTTTCACTGTACCTTTCTATGTTTAGATACACAAATACTTATCATTGTGTTCAGTTGCCTATAGTATTTAGTGTATAGTAATATGCAGTATATATGTTTGTAGTCTAGGAGGAATAGGCTATACCAAAAGCCCTAAGTATGTAGTAGATTGCATCATCTAGATTTATGTCAGCAATTTTCAACCTTTTTCACCTCATGGCAAACATAAACTAATTACTAAAATTCTTCACACCAAAAAATACATTTATGCTGATTTGACAAAACAAAAAAGTAATCACTTGCCCTTTTTGCTCCAAAGTGACTTTAAGAAAAAAACCAGGTACTTATACTGGTATATAAAGATATCTGGTACCAAGAATTAACCAATCAGACACAATCTTATTATGCAACGTGACCAGTAAGATGCAACTATAGCCTGGTCAGCCTGGCTCAGTGGTTGAGTGTGGACCTACAAACCAGGAAGTCACGGTTCAATTCCTGGTCAGGGCACATGCTTGGATTGCAGGAGGCAGCCGATCAATGATTCTCTCTCATCGTTAATGTTTCTGTCTCTCTCTCCCTCTCCCTTCTCTGAAATCAATTTATTTATATATATATTTTAAGATGCAACTCTATTATATGACATATATATTTATGTTTCAAGACAGGGCATTCACACCAGAGAGCTATTGTTGTGTTGGCTGTTGTCATTTTTTTATGTGATAATCTAAGGGAAAAGAGGTCAGTGTCCCTGATTAAATAGCCAGGTATTGCATGTTTTAAAAACCCTTGTGGGCTCTGGCTGGGTAGCTTACCTGGTTAGAATGTTGTCCTGATATGCCAAGGTTGCAGGTTTGATCCCTGCTCAGGGCACATACAAGAAGCAAACAATGAATGTGTAAATAGTGGAACAACAAATCAATGTTTCTTTCTCTCTTCTTTCCTCTCTCTAAAATCAATCAATAAATAAAAAAATTAAAAAGTTATTGAGGCACACTGTGGCACATCAGTTGAAAATCAAATCTATGATGTTCACTTGACAACATCGACTAATGATGCATTTCTCAGAATGTGTATCCCTGTCAAGTTTGAGGAATTTTAAAATACCAGTATCTATCCGCTGGTTATAAGAAGCTTAGATTTTTAAAAAGTAGTTAACTATAATATAACCTGTTTGTTTTTATTTTTTAATTTATCTTTACTATTGAAAGTATTACATATGTTCTTCTTTTTTTCCCCCATCAACCCCTTCTATCTTGCACCCGCCTCCGCCTCAGGCCTTCACCACACTATTGTTTTTTAAATAATATAATTTCACCAGACACAACTGACAGCTTAATCATTAACTAAGAAAAATATTAGAAATTCCTGTGGTTGAGAAAAGGTGCATAATATTTTATCCTTTAATTGCTGAATTTTTTATTAGTGAAAATTGTTTTAGAATTTGTCTAAATAAACCAATATATTTACATTGTAGATAAGTATATTTTCTGGTAGATGGCAGTCAGGTATTTCAATATAGGAACATTTTTTTCTCTAATATGAACAAAGTCCAGTATTAGTCCTGATTAGCAATATGGAAAATTTTCAAGTACATTATTGCTTGTGCCACACCTAAGAGCGGGAAGGAGGAAGGGAAGGGGTGTGTATTAAAGTGTTCTAACTGTCCACAGCCATAATAGATAAAATAGTAAATACTCATCTTTAGCTGAAGCTATTCGAGGACTTTGGAAATGACAGTGTGTTGTAATGGTCAAGCACATAGGCTATGCAGTCGGATGGCTTTTTATCTAACTGGTCACCTTAGACAAACTATTCAATCTCTGTGCATTATTTCCATATGTAAAATGGGATAGTACTTACAGAGCTGCAAGGCTATACATATTTATAGACACAATTGGTATGCTTACTATATGCCAAGTACTATTTTATCAATATGTACATGTACATAAACTCTTGATATGGGAAGCCTTTAAAAAATGATGTCTGACTATATAGGGTCAGGTACCATGCATAGGCTCAGATTTCACACACGCTGTCCTGATTCAGGTGGTCAGGGGGAGAAGGGAGGCACAGTGCGTTTTGGAAAAGTTTCCTGCTCCCAAAGTTATTCTGTATCCTTCTGAGTCATCCCTGCCTGCCCAACAATATTAGTACATCTGGCCTTGATTCTTCGCCACACCCTCCCCACCTATGAAATATTCATTACCCAACTTATATTCTCTTCTATCTCTGTTCTTCACAAGAGCTGCTAATATCCTGCTGTAGACTGATCCTGACCATGGTGACTTTGGTGGCAATATGAACTTGGGAATCGGTCATCTTACCTATATGGGTGGGGTCTTAGTCACCCTGTGTCTTTCCACTTCCTTTGAACTTCTGAGTTGCACTGAGTCTTCTTTTCACCTTTCTACCTAGCACATTTGTTTTTTACTCCACAATTTCATTTCTCACATATGTGGCAGGCCACATGACTGTAATTTACTAAAATTTATCTGTAATAATCTGGCAATAGTTAACTTGGTTTATGGGGACTAATCTAGCTGTTAACCAATTGAAGTAGCAATAATCTATCTTTTGTAAAATAACTTTATAGAATTCAGAAGAAATACAGTTGAGGTCCAGATGCTGAGTTTTTTCAATTTCATTTGTTTTTTATTAACAGTGACCATAACTATAAATTTCACAGCTGTGAACTTTTAAATTAGATTGACTCAATATCGTTTATGTCCTTCTTTATTCAATAAGTGGGATTCACAACCTTACATAAAATGGATTTTATGTTAAATTGTACTTTTATGACTACATTTTGTGACAATTATTTGAATCAAAAAAACTGGTAAAATACATGTCTATTTATTTTACCAAAGCTTGGCTTTATTTTTTGTTCTCTCTGCCAGCCTAAAGAACCCTCACAAGTTAATTATAGTAATGATTTGTTATATGTAATATAGAGGTCCAGTGCACAGATTTGTGCACCGGTAGGGTCCCTCAGCCTGGCCTGCAGGGATCGGGTTGAAACCAATCTCTGGGTCCGGGGTGTAGGTGAAGCAGATTCGGGCCAACAGTGCCCAGCAGCAACCTAACCCGTGGCTGATTCCCTGAGGAATCGGGCTCCCTCCTCTACTGGTTGGAGCGTCTGCCCCCTGGTGGTCATTACGCATCATAGCTACCAGGCAAACAGTTGCTTAGGCTTTTATATATATAGACTAGAGGCCTGGTGCATGAAATTTGTGCACAGGTGTGTGTGTGTGTGTGTGTGTGTGTGTGTGTGT